AGCTTACAGTTATTCAGTGACAACACCAGTGACATCATCGGGTGCCAGCATGTCTGTCGGCACATCTGAGTATGTGCGACAACTTAGAAACCAATGCAAAGACACATGCACACACACACACGCACGCACTTCAGACCAGTCAGACAGCGCTGTCTTCCACCTGTCTCCAGCGTTGCCCGTCCCGGTCATTAAAAGGGTCCCAGAGCCCCACTCTAAGTGCACATGTCAACTGCAAAATTACAGGGCACGCACAAACACATATTTGTTTTGTATTTTGAAAGGGTAATATCTGTCTGCACGCAAGCAATACGTTCATTTTCCTCCTGATAGCTCCTCCTCTTCTCTTTGTGACAAACCCAGAAAACAAAGCAGGTAAGGTTCAAAGACAAAACAAAGGAAAGGAGATAAAGACAGGAGACAGGTCGAGCTGATGGACATATGACATAGGGAAACTTATCATTTCCCTAATGATTCTCTGGTTACTGTGGACTTTACCACAGCGATTACAAACCACTTCTTTAACTGAGGTCGAAGTATCATGACATCTCAGTTTTGTTCTACCACTTAGCTCCCCCTTTTTCTAACTAATAAAGACCACAAAGCCACTGCAGATGCCTGTGATGAAAGCATCGCTGTTTGAAAACATGAGTGCCAGACATTGGCAAGACTTGATTCAGTGTAGCGGGAAGAAGTGCACAGACAAGTTTGACCAGGAGGAAAGACGGAGCATAAAGGAAAACAAATTGCTTCAACTGAAAGATGAAGATCTATTTTCAGACAGTGACATCATCGTTTCTTTTCGCTGGCATTACTTCTGGGTGCGTGGATACGACAAGGAGCACAAACAAGCAATCAAAAACCCTTGGCACCTGAAAGTTGTGTTGTTTTAAACCTGCCCTTTTATTCTCAGCTCTTTCACCACGTTGCCTTTGGGTAACCTGAGTGCTCTCTTTCCCTTTTCAGCATGATCGGTACAAACAATGGCAAACGTCTTTTCTCCTCGGGGTGATTGACTTGGTCTTATTGCGGTTCTTATTTTATGCTTTTCTGCTGAATGAAATCTCGGCTGTATGTCTGAATAGATGCTGACAGGACCTTATTAGCTGCGTTATTCCGAAATACACAGACGTGAGATCACTAGTGGACAACATTGGGCTTGTTGTCACAGCTCAAACCCAATTTTATAATGGCTGGTTTGTCACTTGTCAACATACGGCATGAGTCACGGCATCATGCCTTAGCCCGAGAGTCAATGAAAATGGCACAGTAGCACGTCTGAACACCATGACAAAGGCATTTAGCGTTTCCTATAATTTTTGCACTGGTCGCATCCTTCTTCCACGTGTGCTGTAATTTCCCTCGGCTGGATACTCAATAACATCCTGTTGTCTGAGGATATCTGGGGGGACAGATTTTACTGACCCCACCACCACCGCATCGTCACACACTGTTATCCCAGCCCTGGCTAATGACAGCCAGCCAGGAAGCTGTCCCCTGTGATCTCTGTGATTAAAAGCATCCTTATTATTGCCTGGGTATTGTTTTGTTGTGCGTGGATCCCTTTGGACTACTGTTATTAAATCGAATTACTGGGACTCGGCTGTGACACCAAGAATCTTTGGGAAACACTTCATAAAAGGAAAATGCACAGTGACAGCATCTGAGATGAAAAATAAAAAAATGTCACAACTAACTGCACTGACTTACATGAAAACTAGTCTCCCTGTCCCATGATAAAACATTACATCAGCAATGTATTTGTTCCCTAGATTTATAGCGTACATAATATTTTGCACAATGTTGATCTTTTAAAGACCTTCTATGACTCTGTGGTGGCATCTGTCATTTTTTACAGTGTTGTATGTTGGAGCAGCAGTTTATCGGCAGCTGAGAGGAAGAGGTTGGATAAACTCATCAGGAAGGCCAGCTCTGTTCTGGGATGCACCCTGGACCCAGTGCAGGTGGTGGGGGACAGAAGGACTCTGCCCAAAATAACATCTCTGATGGACAGAGTCTCCCACCCCATGCATGTAGATGTTGCTGAACTGCAGAGCTCCTTCAGTGACAGACTGCTGCATCCTAGATGCATGAAGGAGCGTTTCCGCAGGTCCTTCCTCCCTGCAGCTGTCAGACTGTACAATCTGAACTGCTCCCAACAAACATAGATGTTTACATCAATGCTGTAACTGCAATACGTTAGTTAATTAACCAATTCGCACTACAACCTGGTTTGCCTCTTACCTGTAATTATTTTTATTTAATTTAATAACTGTACAGTACTCTCTGTTTATAGTAACCATTTGTTCCGTGTCCTGTTTGTTAGTATATTTGTCTTTTTGGCTGCTGTTACAACCAAATTTTCCCTTGTGGGACAATTAAAGGATTATTCTATTCTATTCTATTCATCTATTATATCTTACTTTTACTCTTTAACTTAAACCTATTTCTATTTTTTAGTCACTTTTGGCATATATACATTTTTACACTGTCTCACAGCATAAGGCCCTCACTATGTGCTTTGTTGCATTTTTACTTACTTATTTTAACTATGCTGTTTATTTATTGTAGACTGTACTATTTTTATTCATTATCCTGCTGCTGTAGCATGATAATTTCCCTTATGGCATCAATACAGTATCAATCTATCTGTAGATGCTGAAGAAAAGCTTAAAGACAGAGCTGAAGAAGAGATCTACTTACTTACATAGCTCTTATAATGACTAAGCGATGTACAGATTTCACAATCCGTACATCACTTAGATCTGTTTAGCACAGTTCATCTTGGTACATTAAACTGGTTTTTCCAGTCAGGTGCTGATATCAGTGTCATCTCTTCTCCTTAGATGGCCATCATCGGCAGCTTTCTTTATGCTTTACTGATTTGTTCGTTTTCTTTTTGGTTCGCGTTTTAGTCAAGCCTAAACCAAAAAGAGCTTCACACATGCAATGAAATGCAGTGCATCACAGGAGCCAGCATGAGTGGAGGTTTTTTGAATGAGAAGACTTTGTGGTAACCCTACACGGTGACACAACAGGTGGTCATCCTTCTTAAACTGCTGCGACAGAGACAGGTGCTTCCGACAATGAGGGTTAGAGTGGGGGTGGGTGGGTTGCGTGGATCTCCGGACAGGCTTTGGACAATGGTGGAAATTGGGCATGGGGGGGGGGGGGTAATTCATGCATGGGCAGCTCCTGGCCCATCCCAGCTCTATGTCAAATATACAAGTGCATGAACCCAACTACTCTATGAGCATAAAATAGTCCGCATTGCAAGGTAAACACCAACATGCTCATTCAAACTGTTGAGTGTTTTTTTTCCTCCTCGGTTTGTCAGGGAAACAGAGGCGTCAGAGGACAATGGCCTGACAATCGGCAAACAGGAAGAGATCCCCTTCGCACAGAAGGGTATTCCAGCTTAAAAAGGGAAGAGGGCTGGAGGTGAGAGGGGCTGTGGGGGTGGGTGAGCGCAGCGACAGCACTTTGACCTCAAAACACCACCACAAACATTTCCGACCTAAAAAAAAAATCCATCTAAAAAGATCATATCTATCCGCCCAGGAACAATGCAACAACCCGAACACAGCAATGACACAACCTGAAATATATCCCGCTCGCAACTACATTTTCTCAACAGAGGAAAAGACAACACAGGTGAAACACTTCTTGCTTTTCCATCACCTGCACTTAGCTTCTCTCATTCTTTACTTTCATTGTAAATTCACCCATGAAAAGATCTCACTGATTAAGAATCTTTTACAGTCTGAACTTTTCAAAGCATTCCACCCGGTTTGACCATGTGACAGCCGGGAAATGCTTCAAGCCAAGTCTAAAAGTAAAAACACTTTCCAATCTCCCTGCAGACATCTGCACGTCTGATCGCCAGCGGTATCCCAACAATGTGTTTCCTTTTTGATGCAAACGCAACTACGTAATTAAAGCTGTCAAAAGCCTCTTATCTGCATACCTCACGAATGACATGAAGTCAAAATGTTAAGTCACAGATAAATAAACTTATATAAAATAAGTCAGATCACTGCTGGAAATACATTTAATTCCATTTAAAAATACACATAATAAGCCAAATAAAACTAAAGCCCATCAGTTCTCTAAGAAACACACTGTATCTTATAATTAATCACTTAGTTCCGCTCATTTCCTCAAGCTATGAGCTGCCTCGGTGAGCCTTATCCTGCGCTATCAGTCATTGTGTAAGAGTAGGTGCCAGAGATAATAATGGTCAAATCAGCGCTGATTGATTAAGCAAGAAGTGGAAGGAAGGGAGGGGACGATGATGAGCAGGAAGCAAAAAGAGTGAAGAGTTGACCGTCCTCTTGTGCTGTCAGATAGATAAGGCTAGTGATGGAGATTCCCAGTGGACTCAGATAACCTTTACCAATAATGTCACTATTTAACAAAGCTGCTCTGTTTAGAGTGGACTGCTAACCTATCAAAAAAGAAAAGAAAAAATAAGATAAACACTGTTTACAGGTCTATACATATTGTGTATTCATTTCTAAATTGAAATGAGTTCTACTGGCATTCCAGCTTTATTAAACTGTATTAGTCTATTTTTGCAAGTAGACTGAATAAAAACTACAAAGATCAATAGCAAACACAGAATTCGAAACTGTAGATGCTGATAAGCATCTGACATTGTTTTGAATTCCTTTTAAATTTACTGTAGCAGTTTTCAAGAAGTGTTTCAAAGCTTAGCTTAGACCTTGCCATTAAACACTTTATGCTTGCATGAATCCCTGGTTTAGATACAGTTAGGTACACTGTGTAGGCCTACAGGGGAAAGTACTGAACCACGTAATCTCAATTTTATTTGTTTTATTGCACGTAATAGACTACATAAATGATTTCACATTAAAACCTTTTAATTGAGGTTATTAAATTCATCTTAAGTGGTTGGTTAAATCAGGTTCCAAGAATCGTCGTCTCGCTATTGGCCAACAGAGGGCGCTGTAAAACATTGGTTGACAGTCAGTGAATTCTCATGAAAGCGCTTGTTGGCTGTGTACAAGCAGCGGTATCTTTTCCACACAAAAGCTTCTGCGGTTTAAGTTTATGTTTTACAGGGCCGCGAGAGTCATTTCAAAAGCACCTTTCCAATCTCTGCGGCAGCTTTTTTGGTTACGAAATTCCCGAAAACTGACGTCCAAAATGTCCTTTCAGTATCCCCAGGCTTACCGCGACGAGTCAGTTGTAAGTAAATGTGGGTTGCTAACTAGCCTAGCGTGCGAATAAGCCGGGATGCTTAATCATCACGCGCTTTCATTCATTGAAAAGAGCGTTCGCTTTGTTAGCATGCTAGTTAGCTTAGCCATCACTGGTAAACCGAGATTGGCTATGTTGACAAAAATGCATGCATTTCAGAGATAGCCATAACTTAACTACAAGTCCAATTTTAGCCTTTCAAGATGCTACCTGATTAACTTTACTAAACACCCTGGGCTTATAACCCCGATAGCTCAACTCTGTTTTGCTTAGCTACTTCACCTTTTAATCATTCCTCTGTGGCTGGTCTCAGGTGGATGACTATCATGGCTGCAAAGTACCTGACCCTTACAGCTGGCTGGAGGACCCTGACAGTGAAAAGACACAGGTAAACTCCCCGTTACCACTCAAATCACCGATAATTCTGTATTTTTTACTGCCATATTTAGTTGTTGTGTCGCGTTTTGTAATTAAGAAATGTGGGCATGTGATTTGATAGTTAAGTGTTGGTATTAAATGTCACAGGCGCATTTAAAGCGTAGCATCTTTTGATTTCTTTCTCTTTTTTTTGCAAATTTGTCATACTTACGTGTTTCAGATGAAGCACCTTTTAATACTAGTATAACCCCAGTACATATAAAATGCTTAGCCTATCAGAGGCATTATATAACAACAATATTGGATTTTCATTTATATATTTCAGTTCTTCCATATTCATTATGGATTTCTGTGGAGAGACACTTGCTTCAAAAGCATAAACTAAGATTAAAAATTGTGTACAATCATTTACGTGTACGTTTTGAGGACACGTTAGCATGCACTGTAATCCGTGCATATCAGAAAATTGGTGCACCGGCGTTAAAGGTTTTGTGAGTGAGAGGGATGTTATTCAGTTATGTCCAATTCGTGAAGCTGAACTTAATAAATTGTGCATAAATAATCACTATTTATTCAGGTTTGGATGTATGCGTTTGTAAAATAGTTTTATGTGTGGTCAAATCGATTTGTATGTGGATTGGAACACGCATCTGTGAGTCCTCAAATGTTACACACAAATTACTGTACACATTTGTAAATCATATTTTTCTCCGTAGGAGTTAGGATGCCAATCGCCTGATCCCTGCTTACCTGTGGCAGTTGTGGCATTGGGGTTAGGGTCAGTTTCGGGGGGTTTTCGGGCCACCAAACGAGTCAGGCGGATATGGCAACTTGGCCTTGCAAGACTACTTTCTAATCCCTTACTCATTACTCGTAGTTGTTTTGTTATATTTTCATGCACAAAGAATCAGTAGTTGTTGGGTCTGTATGTATTTAGTGTCTCTTGGTATATTTTAAACTTAACCTAAATTAACAGACTCCTTCAGTTCAATAGATCATGAGACATGAGAAATGAAAAATATGCAAATGTTTAACAATTAGTATGATCTGAAAACCTAGCTTGTTTGGAGGTTTGGATAGCTTTTTTCCCTTAGTAAAAATAAGATCTTTATTTAAAAACTGTATTTTGTATTTATTCAGGTTATCGTTGATATTAAAGTTTGATCTAAAACATTTAATCATGACAAATATGCCAAAAAAAGAACTCAGGAAGAGGTGGATACTTTTCCCACAGCAAAGATATCTGCTAAAATATTATTTTCTCTTTTGAGCAGTCTGTTGAAATGATAATGGTAAAATGTAAAGCATGGTTGTATTATGCTTTCTTCCGTTAGGCCTTTGTCAGTGCCCAGAACAAGCTCACTTTGCCATTTTTAGAGCACTGTGAGGTGCGAGAGCTGTTCAAAGAGCGCATGACTGAGCTGTATGACTATCCCAAGTATAGCTGTCCCTTCAAGAGAGGAAGCAGGTAAAGCTTGCTGCAACTGATTCCATAATAATATTTTTGATGTTGGATTTCAGCTTTAGTGTTAGATGACAGAGTGATTATGTGACATTCCAGTAGCTTTTCTCTTTGTTTTTTAGGTACTTTCACTTTTACAACACGGGCCTCCAGAACCAGAGTGTGATGTATGTGCAAGAGAACCTAGATGCCGAGCCCACAGTCTTCTTAGATCCAAACACATTTTCTGAGGATGGGACAGTTGCTCTGCGAGGTATCAGCCGTGTACCAGTACCCATTTTACTGATATGAAAAAATATGTTGCCTGCATTTCTGGATTGTGTGCTCTTTTTAATTTTAGTAATACATTTAGTTCAAAATTGCCTTTCAAGTAATAAATTCCTTCACGTGGTAGTTTTTACTCAATTTTGAATAAAAATCTCTACAAATATAGTGTCCTCTCTGATTCTAAATTTTGTTAAGTTTCCTTGTTAACAATCTATTTATGTTTCTTTGATTTCTTCAAGGCTATGCATTCTCTGAGGATGGAGAGTACTTGGCATATGGCACAAGTGCCAGTGGGTCTGACTGGGTGGAGATCCGCTTTCTGCGCGTTGAGGGCGCTGTGCCTTTAGAGGACCGCCTGGAGCGAGTCAAGTTTAGTTGCATGTCCTGGACCCACGATGGGAAGGGGCTTTTTTACAACTCGTATCCTGACCAGGAGGGCAAAAGTGATGGTAAGACTGTGTTGGACAGGATTCAAACATTCTTAAATACTAAACCTTCATTTAGCTGCAGTAGATTACCCTCAAAATATGAAATACTTATAAGATAATTGACATTCTTGGAACTCAGTCTGCTTACCTAGCCTCATGGGACAGGGCTCTCTGCCAGGACAGAAGAAAATGGATTAATGGATATCTGCTTAAGGACTCGCTTTTCTGTGCACTGGCCAGTTACCATTTAAAAAAGCTAATGAAAAGCTAAATTGTCATTAGATAATTGCTAGCGGTTTCAAATTTATATATCTCCAAATGCAGTCTACACAGACTGTTAAACTGCATGCAGCAGCAATGTCTGCTCAAACGTGAGTGGAAAATATTATTATTATTTTTTTTAAAAAACCTTGAATTAAGAATAAAAAAACATATGTTAGCTGTTGAGGAATTACAGACATTTTCATACACAGACCTCCGTTTTCATAGACTGCAATTGCTAACTGACTGACAAGCATTTCAATGGCCAGGTGAGGCCTGTTCCATTGTTATTTCATGACAAATGAGTCAAAGTGCTGATTTTTTTGTAACATTTGTAACAACTTTTCACTGTCGTCATTAGACTAAAAAACTAAAAACCAAAAATAAAGAGATCCGGGAGCTTTAGACAACAAAGTTGGATGATGACAAAATTATTTTCATGGTTTAGAAAAGTTAGTTTACACTAACACGACAAGAACACGACAAATTGTCAAGGTACAGCAGGAAATGCAGCAGTTTGCACTTTGCTATAAAGTGAAAACTGCTCATTACAGTCAAGAACAGGAAAACCAGATTAGATGTTACCAGAAATCATCTAAAAGAATCTGCATTGTTCTGGGAAGGAAATAAAAAAACAAACAAATTTGAACTTTTTACCAGATGATGACAAGAGAAAAGTATGGAGAAGCATGCCATGTTACCAGTCAGACATGACTTATAATGTCAGTGGAAATGGATCACTGGTGTTTATTAATGATGTAAGTGTTGAAAGAAATAGCAGTATGAGTTGTGAAGGTTTATACTTGCTCAGTTT